TAAAATAATATGATATAGTAGAGTCCTGATTTAGAAGTCAAAGGGGAGAAAATTAAAACAAAAAGAAACCCAAAAAACTACTCTGGCTCCCAAACCTTGCTGTTTCTAAGTTTCCATTTCCTCATTTGTTGGAGAATAAAGATAATACCCGCCTATGTGTTAGGTCAGAATGGTGACCCAATGCAATCGTGCATCATACAGAAGCCGAGGACACACAACTGTGTTTTAGTAGGTTAAGGTAGCTGACCTCCAAAAATGCATCACAACTAATAAGTGGAAAATTAAAAATAAAAGCTAATAAATAACTGAGAAGTATTATGGTAAGACAATAATTTGAATTAAGAGAACTTGTTAAACACTCTGATTTATCGAATTCTACTAAATCAATTAATGATATCTTTATTTGTTATTAGAAACAATGGATGTGATGCAGGATTTAGTGTTGTGACAACTAACTTTTAACCTTTCGTCTTTAGGAATGGATTATGTGGGGCGCCTGGGTGGCTCGGTTTTTTGAGCTACTGATTCTTGGTTTTGGCTCAAGTCATGATCTCAGGGTCATGGGATGGAGCCCTGTACTGGCCTCCATGCTCAAGAAGGAGTCTGCTTGAGGATTCTCTCCCTGTGTTCCTCAACCCGCTCTCACCCATACATGCATGTGCTCTCTAAGATAAATAAATCTTAAAAAAAAAAAAAAAAAGGACTATGTGATATATGAATGACTCAGCTATTTCTAAAAAGATTGCTTATCAATAAGTTGTTTGTAAAGGGAATATACATTTTCTCTTGGTCTAGAAAGTGAAATAGGAAGCATTCTGCAGTGGGGAGCAGGGAGGGTGATTAACAGGTGAAGACTTCTGAATGTTGGTTGAGCAATGGGTTTCTCATTTTTTGTAGCTCAGTTTCCCCATTTGTAAAATTACAATGATAATAGCTCTAATTGCTTTGGGTTTTTATAAGAATCAAATGGGGAAACATTATGTGTGCCGAAGTTTTTATTTATTTATTTTATTTATATAAATGTTAACAGATGCATACATATTTATACACTTTAATGTTCAAAGTTAATATTTTGAAAATACTGGCAGTCCCTTTCTAGGGAAGTAAGATATCCCTGTTCCACTGACATCAGCTTTTGCCATGTAACCTAAGGTGCCATTTGTCTACATGAAGATTGTACATTCTTGACCTATTAACTCAGGAGTAGCCATATGAATTGCCTTGGCCGATGGAAAAAACAAAAAAGTATGGTAGTTATTCCATGCCTCACTTGTAGGTAACAATGAAGAACTGGGTTTTGTTTTGTTCTGCTGTGTTTCCCACAGCAAACATTGCCCTCAGGAAATCCCTTGTTCTAGGCAGAGACCACTTCATCAGCTGGGTTGTGGAGTGAAGACTGAATACAGCACAGTCTCTGACTGTTGATAGCACTGACTATGGAATTTGGCAACATAAACCTAGCTATCCTAACTGATCCCAACTTGACAGTTAAAGGTGGAGTGTGCCTGATAAACACCCAGAAAATAAATAGCATGGTTTCAAGAGACTGGAAGCTGGTGAGGAAACTGTTACTGGAAGCTATCAGGATGGGAATCATGGTTGGCAGTGAAAACTCATTTAGCAAAATGGTTGCCTGCAATAACATGGAAGGCAAGCGATGAACCAAAGAACCCACAGCTCTTGATATCAGAGTAGCCAGGCAGTTAGTGCATGTTTCCCACAGGAGAATTATGCATCCCTGAGGTGAGGAGCTCAGGAGCAGTCTGTGCCTGGGTTTGGTGGATGAACCGCGGGCAGCAGAGTCAGGGGTCACTTCTGGGAGAAGCATTAAGATCCAAATTGTGGTTTATTGTGCCTGTTTTTTCACTCTGTCAGAAGAACAACACTGCTCTGCATAGAGGCTGCCCTTTCATTTGGCATGGGGTGAATGATGGAGGATGGAATGGGCACTGATCCATGGTAGATATACAGTGGGAGTGAGATATAACCCTTCTCAGTCACAAATTGCTGAAGTTCTGAGTCTGGGTGTGTGCAGAATATATCCTAGCTATCTGCAAAGGCAGGTGCCTCATTAAATGCCACGTACACATTACCTATTACTATTTTTATATGAGCACCAGGGTAATGGTGATGGTACAAGGGGATTTCAAAATCTCAGAGGGAAAAAGATGGAGGAGGCTGATGAAGCTAACATATTCTAGTTACTTAAGTACTTGAAGAAATTGGCTCCACATCCGGTGGTGTGCTGGTAAGGATTAACAACTAGCTGTGGATGGAGCGAAAGGTACTGATTTGTTGCATCTGCTAACTTCTGTAGCATAAATGTGCCCACCATGGCTGATTTCAGACTAAAGATGGACATGATGGGACAGTGGGGCCATCTGTGCACAGGGGCTCCCACGATCCCATGATCCCGGTGCACAGCTGGGGCACACGCCTCTAATAGGTTTCGCTGGCAAGTGGGGGTGGTGCACAATCATGCTTTGGAAAAGGATCTGACCAACTCTGGAAGAAAAAAAAAATGCCACCTAATGCCAACCCTGCTCAGCACAGTAAGTTTGGAAAAGCAGAGCCCTGGCTCACATTCTCCCCCACTGAATGCCATGGATGCCAGAGCCAGTCGAGACAGCCTTAATAAGCTGAGGAAAATCACAGCCTCCCCAGCAGTTTTGAGACAGCATGGAAGGAAAATACTTAGAAGGGGAAGGGAGGAGGAGAAAGAAGGATTGTTGTCTGAGAAGAAACCACTTTGATCTCAGTCAAAACAGATCATGCTGAAACCAGGCTGCTGTTCCCTGGGAAAATATATTTCTCCACAAATCCTGCCTTTCTAAATTGAGCAGTGAGTCAGCAGCGGGCAGTGCGGCATGTGAAAGAGAGGAGGACGAGCCCCAGGTACCACTGATGCGTTCTGTTATTAGAAGTCTCTGGGAGAGTAATTTGGTAGAAGCTTTTCAGTTTTTAGGTCACTAGTTTAAATTCAGTCTCAGTTGATCAGGAGCAAAAGGGAATGGCTGGTGGCTTAGGAAAAAAGCCTTGGTGATGACACCCTCGTTCTTTCCCATAGAGACTGCCACTGCAATTGGTGCCCTTTCTTTTGCTCCTACCAGAAGCAGGAAGGGTGAAGAGAAATGTCATTTCACATATTCGCTCAGCTTTCGCAGTAGAGAAATTTGAGATATGAAAAAGATCAACTCCTTTTCATCTTTAACTCACAGGTAGAGTTATTCTCCTATAATGTGGTTCCTGGACCTTTCTGGGATTTATTGAAATGAGACCTAGGGCCATCTTATAAATAGGATTATGTTACCTTATAGAAAGTGAAATCGTACAAAGGCACATTCTGAAGGAATATTTAAACATAAAAAGTGTACAATTTCTTAGCCTGAATCTTAGCACAAATCTAGGATTTATTTAGCTTTTCTTCTTGTTTACACAAATAAATCCATATATTTGTATATGTGGATTATATGTATGTATATAAGATTTTCATTATTCCATTAAATGTACTTGTCTTCATATTTGGTTTTCAGAGACTATGGGGTTCTTTTATTTTGTCCGTTAAAATACTCTAGGGAGTCTGCTTCTCCCTCTCCCGCTCCCCACTCTTGTGCTCTCTCTCTCTCCCACTCTCTTTCTCTCAAATAAATAAATAAAATCTTTAAAAAAAAAATACTCTAAATTTCCTTGTTGCTAACATGACTACCTTCACATAATCTTGTTTCCCACATATTTTAATAGTAAATGAACCACAGAAGCAAGGTCTCTGTAGTTACCTGGGGAAAAGCAACCAAATAGATACTAGAGCAGAGGCACAGAGAAGTATCTGGTAATGCCAGACAAAGTTCTGGCAGCCTCGGGTACTCTGAGGGATCTAAGGGAATGAGCCCTGTTTTGGACATAATGAAAATGTAACCAACTGATCTAGGCCCCAGTTACTTTCCACGGGGTTCACTTCCCATGTCTGGATCATGAGGCTGATGTGTCTCATTACTTTCACATCCTTTCCAGTTCAAACATTCGCTGCAATCTCCACTTTTACCTCATCAGGCTTTGGGTGAGAGGCTGTGTGCATTCAAATAGGAGGTGGGCAAGATGTAACTATGCCTTGTGTCACCTCCTTTGGTGGTAAAGATCGATACTGGGATTTTCCTGAAGCATCACATGCACATCTATCTGTCCTACCCTTCAAGGCCAGCTTTCCGAACTCTTGTCAGCAAGCTCAGCCGTTCCCGTGTAATGACACCAGGAGAAGGTCGGTTTCCTGTCCTCTCGACACCCACGAGTAGAGTGATGTGTCACGTGATGATTCTTACTGCAAGGGGCAATTATCAACACCATGTGAAGCCTGACTTATAGATTCAGTGAAAGAAACAACCATTTCTGGCCAAATGTGTTTTAGTCAGGAATATATAAACAGTGAAAACCAAGCAATCATACTGCAAGTAACTCATATGCCTATGAATCTGGACCTGCAGATGCAAATATCAGCTAGCCCTCCTCCCTTCACCTAAATGAATAAACGAGGCCCAGCAATTACGAGATTTGCCCATGGCCATAGAATGAAGTTGTCTGCCTCAGAATTAGAATGCCTACCGTCCGTCCGTGAACCCAAAGCTATTTTCTCTATACCACACTGCAGCAAAACTAAATCCTGCTGGGCAAAGGAATTCGAGACAGAAAATAATAGCTGCAGACTCTTTGGGTGCAAAGTACAAAATATTCAACTGCACGTTTCCAGTCCCTTCATTCTGTCTTGTAATGATTGCAGCTAATCCCTGCCAGGTAACGTCAGTCCTTCAGTGGTGGCAATCAATAGAATCGATTAGCCGAGGAAACCCTCTGTCCACATGAGCCCCGTTTTCCTTTCCAGATAGAATTTCCCTGTACTAGAGTGCAAGCAGACATGTGAATTCTCCCCCTTACGCACACACAAATACACACCCATCAGCCTTCAAGGTTGTCTCCATAGAGCTTTACATATCTACCAAGAAGCATACCTGTAGATTTAATAAAACAGCACCAATCCTCATGGCTTCACTGATTTCGAGGCTGTACATCAACTGTGGGAAGCGGGGAGGGCTTTGATTATTTGGAGGAAGCACTTCAATGTACACCGTGCAGATGGAGTGCCTGCAGAGAAAGAGAACAGAAACAAGATGGGGGAAAATCCACATCACCTTTAATGACAGACCGCAGTCCGTGGTCTGCCATTGGGCTTATAGGAGAGGACATTTTGATTTTTTAGAGAAAACAATAAAATAATTCAGAATGAAAGGATGGCAAAATAAAAGCTACCACCGAAATATCATGTTTCTATGAAATTATCTCAGTAAAAAGAAAGGAAATGCCTCGGGGCACGTGGGTGGCTCAGTCGGTTAAGTGGCTGCCTTCGGCTCAGGTCATGATCCCAGGGTCCTGGGATCGAGCCCCATGTTGGGCTCCCTGTTCGGTGGAGAGTCTTCTTCTCCCTCTCCCTCTGTCTGCCTCTCTGCCTACTTGTGCTCTCTCTCTATCTCTCTGTCAAATAAATAAATAAAATCTTAAAAAAAAAAAAAAAAAGAAAGGAAATGCCTCAGGGTACCAATTTTTTCCTACTTAGATTAATAGTGTAAATTAAAACCAAATAGCTGTACAAATAAAGGTAATAAATTAACAGGAGCCTTGACTTCTGACTTTACTTTTTAATGTCTTTCTAATAGCAAAAGGTATTCTATAAATATCTGGTAATATGAGCTGTCCCTAGGGCTCTCTTCCTATTAAACCAGCAGAGGGAGTATTGATTAAAATAACACACAAAAGAAAATCCGGGCTGCGTTTTATTAGTTTTCTTGCTGACATCAATGGCTTCATGTAAATGCATGTCAAGAGTCAGGCTCATAAAGTAATTGTTGTGTAAATTAGTTGCAAACAAAAGTCTTCTTTGAAGAATATATTATGAATAGCTAGAAATTAGATTTAATTAAAGCCTTGCATTGATAGGGAAATTTTTGAAGGACAAGAGGACACTCTGTTACTATAAAGACAAAAATAGGAGCACTAACATAATCAACTTTTTGGGTATCTCTAAACTCTGAAATTTCTTTGCTCAACAAAAGCTACAGAGGCAAGATGTTCAAGGTTTATACAGAAGTAGCACTGGCTAAAATTAGAGTAATGAGAAAGTTAGTTGTCTTCCACCTGGAAGATGCTACCACTACTGTCTGACTACAGTTAGCCTTCTGTCTCGAAGAACATACAACCACTGCCTAAATTGTATGCTTTAAACTTATTTTAACAAAATCACTTTTCACTAAAAACACATTTGTTGTCATTTCTATTTGGGGGCTAGAATTTTCTTAAAATAGCCCAAAGTTCTTTTGGGGCACCTGGGTGGCTCAGTCAATTAAGCATCCAACCTTTTTTTTTTTTAAGATTTTATTTATTTGACAGAGAGAGACACAGCGAGAGAGGGGACACAAGCAGGGGCAGAGGGAGAGGGAGAACCGGACTCCCCGCTGAGCAAGGAGTCTGAAGTGGGACTCGATCCCAGGACCCTGGGATCATGACCTGAGCCGAAGGCAGACGCTTAACGACTGAGCCACCCAGGCACCCTAAGCATCCAACTCTTGATTTCAATGCAGGTCATGATCTCAGGGTCATGAGATCAAGCCCTGTGTCAGGCTCCACGCTGAACGTGGACCCAGCTTAAGACTCCCTCTGCCCCTCCTCACCAGCTTACCCACTCACTGTTGCTCTCTCTCTCTCTCTAAAACCAAAGTTCTTTTTATTAATTGCTTCAATTAAAATACATGGTCACCAATAATGTTTTTCTGAGATTATTATGCTAAAAGAGCCTATGTTTTAAAAAGCTTTGCAGAGGGCGCCTGGGTGGCTCAGTCGTTAGGCATCTGCCTTCGGCTCAGGTCATGATCCCAGGGTCCTGGGATCAAGCCCGACATCGGGCTCCTTGCTCGGCGGGAAGCCTGCTTCTCCCTCTCCCACTCCCCCTGCTTATGTTCCCTCTTGTGCTGTGTCTCTCTCTGTCAAATAAATAAATAAAATTTATAAAAAAAACAAAAATAAAAATGAAAAGCTTTGCAGAGAAATACAGATCATAGGCACTGAAAATTTGTTTCAGGTTATCATCTTATGCCTAAGTCCAAACTGTTCCTGGACATACCCTCAATAGATGAGTACCTATAGAATATAAGCACTCTAAAAAGTTGCAGTGACTTAAAAAATTCACACTTGGGACACCTGGGTGGCTCAGTCGGTTAAGCGTCTGCCTTCAGCTCAGGTCATGATCCCAGGGTCCTGGGATCGAGTCCCACATCGGGCTCCCTGCTCCGCGGGGAGCCTGCTTCTCCCTCTGCCTCTGCCTCTCTCTCTCTCTATCTCTCATGAATAAATAAATAAAATCTTTAAAAAAAAATTCACACTTAACATTTATCACAGTATTGTTCCAAAATTATCTCATTTCAAATTAAAATCTTTTTTATAATCAGCTTTTATAATTTATAATAAAAGTATCTGTATTTATTCTGACCTCTGGATTTGTCACTTTATTGTTAAAATCTGTCAATAAAATGAATCAAATTCTAATTGTTCTTTTCAAAAAATATATATATATTTATATATATATTTACAACTGAGAATTTAAGAGTAAGATTTTTTTAAAGATTTTATTTATTTATTTATTAGAGAGAGATAAAGAGAGAGAGAGAGAGAGCACAAGCAGGGGGAGCAGCAGAGGGAGAAGCAGGCTCCCCGTTGAGCAAGGAGCCCCATGCGGGACTCGATCCCAGGACCCTGGGATCATGACCTGAGCTGAAGGCAGATGCTTAATAGACTGAGCCACCCACGTGCCCCTAAGAGTAAGATGTTTACAGTAGGTTAAAATGGTTGATGAAATGTTACTTATAAACTTACAGGTATTAGTCTTAGGGCTAGATGCAAAGGAAAACATGGTGGGAAGGAAAATATCCACAAGTTACCAAATTTAATGTGCATTACAGAGACCCACTTCTCATTTTGAAGTAGACCTATTATCTTTCCAGGTGGTGACCTGGCTCCAGCAGCATCCTCAGGATGCATACTCTCCCTGTTACTACCCTCATGACCCTCGCTTCTTTGAGCATCTGTTATTCATCAAGTCATTTAAACATTTTATAAGTCTGTTCCTTTTTCCAGCCAGCACATTGTCTGTGGATAAGAAGTCCTATAATATCTGCCCTCCGCCATATTGGTAAGAACCCTGGCTGAGGGATGTTGTTGAGCACAGGATTTTTAACCACACATTCCTGAGTTAGAATTTGGATGTGTACCACATCCTGGGCAAATTATTTCAGTTTGACCACTGCCATCTAAAAAAATGAGAGTAATACTAACACCTCAGTTTAGCATAAGGGTTAAATAAGATTACATATGTGTGTGTGTGTGCACATGTATATATGTTGTATATACATATGTATATGTATGCACATATAAAAACATATGTATCCATTATTAATAATAATTGCTCAAAATTAGGAGTCTTATTCTATTCTATGGAATGGGGTAAATAGCTTGCATATACCTTATTAATTTCCCTTATAATATTTTAAACATTTTAATTGCATCCTTTCCCTTTTCTAGGCTAAATACTTAAGGGCATGATACCCTGGTTGCCTCCCCAAAGTGGGTTTGTGGTAGTGTCCACGTTGAGACATATTAGATCAGAATCTTCTGGTGTGGGACAGAAGACTCTACATTGTCTATGGATATACAATATCCTCACACACTTGATTTAGAAGACCACTGGCCCAGGAGCTCTTGGCAAAAAAAAAAAAAAACAAAAAACCCATATAGGCTCACCTTCTTTTTAAATTAGTAGCCTGGGGGGCACCTGGGTGGCTCAGTTGGTTAAGTGACTGCCTTCGGCTCAGGTCATGATCCTGGAGTCCCAGGATCGAGTCCCGCATCCGGCTCTCTGCTCAGAGGGGAGTCTGCTTATCCCTCTGACCTTCCCCCGTCTCATGCTCTCTCTCTTTATCTCATTCTCTCTCTCAAATAAATAAATAAAATCTTTAAATAAATAAATAAATAAATAAATTAGTAGCCTGGGGCTTCCTCTATAAACTGACTTAACACTCACCTTGGTAACCCTGGAGGTAAGAGATTCTTTCACTGAATTCACATTTTTTTTTTTTTTTTTTTTTTACCTAGAACACACTTGTACTCCAGATTCAAAGTTTTCTTTCAAAAAGTTAGGCCTTTCCTGCTTTTGGCACTTTCTACAGCTTCAGCTTACTGGTCTGGAATACTTGATGAAGTCTTTACCAGAATATGAGGCTCTTTCCACTCATGAGAATATGGTTTACACTGAACTGATTATGCTTTGTGTGTTTCCTTATTCTTTCCCCTAAGACTATTTTCCCACGAGGGAACTAAACTATTTACATCCACAATACTGCACAGAGGACCTCTACACCCAAAGATGCTGGTGTATCTGCTACAGAGAAGACAACTTTAAAATGCAACACAAAGAAGCCTAAGCCCCCAGGCAGAGGATAGACAGAACAGCTGTGGTCCAACACCAGCTTCTCCTTCATCCAACCTTATTCCTTCCCTTCCTCTGCTCCTTTCCACAATAATTCAAATGCTAAAATTGCTAATTACATATGTTTCTGCTCTCCCCCTCCCCACTTGGATCTTGGGGTTGTTTGAGAAAGATCAATTTCAAAGTCTAGCATTTTTCATCTTCAACTTCTTGGCTCTTCCTACAAGCATTTAAATAAGCACCAGTCTTTTAAAATGCTATCTCCTTTTTATCACATGTCAGCATGGTATCAGAGTTAGCTTTCCTGAAACTAAATACCAATAGTATTCACAATAAAATGATACCATTAATGTTGTAATAAATATGAGTAATTCAACAGCATCAGTTAAGCACATAATAAAACAGGACAGTCACTAGATAAATAATAACATTTTATGTGAACATTTTGTATTAACATTTTATAGCTAGTCTTAAATGCATAAAATCAAGCAATTATAAATACAAATTTTATTTTTGTAATATTGCCAGTATGATGTAGATAAATCTCTATTTCTAAAAAAAAAAAAAGAAAATCATAAAGCTTTCTCTTTCTCATTTGGTAATGAAGGTCAAA